TTGCTTATTAGATAGAGCTGGTACTGCATGTACCTCTTCACCATGAATTGATTTAAAAATATAGGCCAAGGTATTCCTAACCATTTCTTGTAATGGCTTACTACAATGTACCCTTTAGAGGCATTAAACGCTTCATACTGGTTATCTCCACTGCTGTGAACAATTCTGACATTGTAAGTTTCTCTAGAATAGAGCACTTTACACAAACCCCTCTGAATGACTTTGTTTACATTGTAATGATTGCATTTTGCAGAAACGTTAAAAGTAGGTGAAGTCCTTTGTAAAAAATAGTGTAAATCTTCCTTCTTCCTGACCAGATCAGGTCACTTTCCTTCTACAGATACTTCACTGTGTGTGGAACTACAGACACAACATCCAGGCGTTCATCCTGAGCTGTAAAAGAGTAACAGGCCCTCACATCACTTGTCTACATCTCTAATTGCAGCATGTTTGTCTCAATGACGTTGAGCAAGGCGTGTGTCCCGATGACTCCTCAGAGAATTTGAAAGAATGTGGATTGACACAGTAGCGCGAAAAATTACCCAACTGGAATTTGCGTGCCATAAGCTGGAGGTGAAATGTGAGCAAGGCCCCAAGAAAGCTGTACTTATAGCTGAGAGCTGAACCATGCTATGCATGTATGTAAAAGAACAAATGTTACCGTAACTACAATGCATCACAATGCTCTTTAAATGCGGAGACACCTTGAAACCCAAAAATAAGCTGCAAACATGTATTTGAAATCACTTATATAAATGTGTAAAAATAAAAATATGTGTATTTTCATGTTGTTATGTTGTTTCTGCTACAGTGCATGTAAAAATAATAACAAATAAATAAAATAGTGGCATGTGGTCTATATAAACAAGATGATTGGCTCTTTTTATTGATGGGTGGGACTTTCTGTAATACAGCAGCCATGCTGAGCATTACAGACTATCCCATTCACTTTTTAACCAGCAAACCAGTGGAAAAGCCTTATGATTGACATACACACAGAAATATTGCTGTTGTTGGATCAAAACCTCGTATCTCCAAAATGATATATCTACAGGAGAAGGGAAAAAACATACTTTTTTACATGTCAATGGAACCAGACTTTTTTTCCAAGTCATTTTGGGTCGTTGCTTTTGGTCCATTCATCGTGAAATTTACCCACAGGGAAAGGACAACAAGGCCTTTTCAAATTGTCACAAATTGAAAAATGTTTGGATTTGGAGACTTCTCTGATGGGAATGTGTAATTGCACACAGTATGGAAGAACAGTTTGTAACATCGGTTGTGCTTCGGATAAACGAAACATATAGACCTTTCGCAAAGGCCATATTTCATGTTATTTTTCCCCCAATATGTTAAATTCAGCAAATAAATATTTTGCACATTGTTGTCTGTTTACGTCCATTAGGATGTGTTAACTTATTTTCACTTCAACAAAACATGTAATTGACCAGGGTGCACAAAGTTTTGCATACGACCGTACACACACACACACACACACACACACACACACACATATATACACAAATTGGTCAAATTCTGGAGGGTTAGAAACGTTGTGGGTCTGATTTGATTGAGCTGTATATCACATTCAGATACAAGGATAAACTCAAAGAGTTAAAATCACGATCATTTTATTTCTCTGTCAACATGTCCAAATACATTTCAAACATATATCTGCCAACATAAACCATTTTCCCAGGTTATTCCCATAATTTTACCCCCTCTGCTGACACTCATCTCCCATTACTTTCACAAAGTCAGTGCAGTGAATTAGGCATAGTGTGACTCAGTGATCTCAGCTCTTCCAGGAAATATCAGATTTTGATAGTATCCCAGGCTATGTGTTCCGGGAAACGTTTCAAAAGAACCGGCCAATAATCAGCATATTTATGATTTATGAGGCTGAAGAGGCCTGTAGGGGAAAGAATTCTCGATATTAAATTCAGCTCATGTTTTAAAGAAAATAACATGGCCTGAAGTCCATGTAATGCAAACTGCATTAAGCTTATAACAGTAACTATATTCACATGCACTCAACAACCCAACTTAGATAGTAGTCTAAGAAACTGGACCGAACCAGGATGTTCACAAGAGCTGCATGAAAGACTAAACCAAATGTAGTCCTGGTTAAATACACAATAGCATAGTCTGACTTTAGAGCGGTAGATGTTCCCTTCATGACGCACCATAGGATGAGCTTCTTGACGTTTCCATTTTTCCCATCCATTTAAATATCTAATGATATTTATCTCTGACTATATGTTTACCATGAGGGACGTCTTTTTAATGTTTAATGTAATGCGTGTGGTATTGCAGAAAAAGACACAAAATGATGCAACTTTTGCTTGAGCAATCTAAGCATTTACATATCTAAATCTCGATTAGTCAGCCTGGGCCACATTTCAATCAGGCTAAGCTTAGATCTTAATCAGACTGTGATAAACTGTACTGGTTATTTGATCATGTGTTACTTTGACCAGCGGTAATATGTAGACCATGTGTCGGCAACACGCAGCTCCACCCTGTTGCGGCTCCACAGCAGAATTGATTTTCAGGTAAAAATGAAATAATCCTCCTTTTCAGTAAAATAAATGTCTGCTGATCATTCATGAGTCAATGTAGCCTGCAACTGCTAATTTACCAAACTTCTTACCCTGAAGGTTGGCATACAGACTGCTGGTCTGCATGCCAACCTTCACAGTCTCGCCCAGCTAGTAGCGAAACAAAAAGGCAAAGAGAAAGATTTAAGGCGAACATCGATAATTTGGTGACGAATAGATTTATTTGCATTTCTAATCACTCCAGCTGGTTTCCTGATACATTTAACCTGCGACGAGAAACTGGCAAACACTAAAAAGTCGTGAAGCTTCTCATTCGCCAGCTTTCAACTTAAACTGTGCAGCAGCTACATTCTGGTGCTTTAGGCACCATTTAAGGTGGAATGGGAAAATTCTAATAAGAAGCTGATAAATAAGAAGCGACTTCAGCCTCATAAAAAGTCAAATGTTGAGAGACATTTTACAAGAAACTATTCTACCTTTGAGTAAAAGTTTCCTGCTGGAGATGCGAGAAAAGTGGCTATAGCTGAGCTAAAGCTTAAAGCAGAGCAAAGTAAGTCTGTGTTTTTGTTATTCTATTTTTATCCTATACTAAAATATACTGAGAAATATATTAGCACATACTGAGACATATTTACAGCCAAGATGGTAAAATGGACATTAAATATTGTGGCTCCCAAAGTGGTTTGATTTTTGTTGAAATGGCAAAATGGCTCTTCTTAACATTTGGGTTGCCGACCCCTAATGTAGACTAATATTGAAGCATCTGTGTGCATGTAAATGCATGTGTACATTTGTGAGTGAGTGCAGCCTACAGTTTCCTGTAAGGGTAAGACAAAAAACACAATCGTAACTGTTCTAACTACTATTTCAGAAAGGTAATATCTTCATTATGTATTTGCATGTTTGACCTGTTTTTTTACTGCAATACTGTGATGTTGATTTGAACAGGACTACTATGACTAAGGGAGCTCTAAGTTGGATTAAAATCAGAACATTACAGCACCTCCCCAGGTAAAACTAATCCAACTTGAGTAGGACTTTACTTATATCATTATCATGAAACAAAGAATGTTGCTTTCTAAAGATCTTGGGACATTTATGCCATTATCATGACATAAATGTTATCTCGATAAAACAATGTCTATTATGTTGTGATAATGATATAAATATCATAAGATCTTGAGTAAAACAATGGTAAATAACTCATTATCATGGAAAAATGGAGTAAAAAGCCAAATCCATGGCCCTTTAGGTCTGTGCTTCATAAACTACATTAATTTTAGCACAATTTATGGAGAGAATGTAGCAGTTTGGTAGACACTAGGTACACAATTTAGTTCAGTTTAATATTTCTCTTCTTCGTCATCCTGAGGCCTAAGTAATAAGTGATTGTCTGTTGCATAAATCTTGCTTTCTATTGGCTCACATTTGCAAATTTACAGGCTTTAAGTTCACTAAGTCAGCACCAAGTGAAATTAACCTTTCCCAGAAGCAAAACTGGATGTTCCCACATCCTTTACAATTCAAGTGAATCAGCTTTTTTGCCAGACAATTTTTACTCTAGGTAAAAGGGTGTCAAACTGTGCTCCTTCCAGGCCACATCTTTGCAGATTTTTGCAATCTGCCTCATTAAACTGACCTGATTTGACTCATTACCATATCTCTGCGGAGCTGTGGCCCGGGAGAAACCCAGCCTGACACCCTTGTCCTAAAGCCTCTCTGGTCAGATGCTGTTGGACATCATTCTTGTTTGTTCGTTTCTGAATAATAAGAAATAAGCACTGGAGTAACTCTTACTTCTATGGATACTACTGCTTGTGGTGTAAATGGACAGACCTTCATAAACATTCCAAAATGTTATAAATCTGCTGCAGGCCAACTCATGTCCTCAAGCACTCTCAACATTTTAGAAGAGTGCATCCTAAGTTCAGGATACGTCTTACAAATAGATAGCTTTAGGGTTTGCCAGAGGAGCAACCGATCTAGTCGTGTCAGATCAAGATCATACGGCCTGATAAAGAGGCTCATCACTGGATACCTCTTATGACTAATTCACTGCACTGGTTTGTTTTAAGGTAATAGGAACTCTTACATTTAGGCCTAATCCCCCGATCAATAAGAAACATTTACCCCACCTAACTCACAAACCCTAACATGTCAGCGCAAATGAAAGCTCAAACAGGTCATGGTATACACAAGAGATCTGCGACTGAGGCTAGGCCTACTTCTTTGGAATGGAATGGCCTGTGTTTTGGCAAGTATGTAGACACTGAAGATGTGGTCCTAAATCTCAAGAGTTATTGAAATTAATGTTACCTGTAAAGTATCTCCAGCATAAATAAATAGCCTAAACTGCAGACCAACAGGCAAACCATATTTGCTTAGACATAACAGTGAATCATTGCTTTAACCAAAACAAAGACTGGGTTTGAATTAGAATGGTAAAAAACAGCTGGTCTCATTATATTTCACCGTTTTGTTTTCAAATAGAAATACATACAGGGATCCTTATTTAGTAACAGAACATTTCCGTTTTTTTACAGCAGTGCTTTTCCATATGAAAGTAAAAGTGTGCTTCAAGTCCAGGTTATACGTGCACCTTGTACTGGTGTCTTGAAACAGTGTTGTACTGAAATATGTACCCAATCACCTCGTTATCTCTTCGGCTCCACTCTGAAATCAAAAGAGAAATCACATTAGTACACTGTTAGCCATATCAATCCCTGCAATGTTTCAAAAATTATTGTTTTTTATCATGGCAAAATTAAACAGACAATTAAGGGAGATTATATTCAATTCCATGCAATACTTACAAGGTATCAAAAGCAGACTGATGCAAACAATCACGACCATGGCAATACCACTTGTTGGTCCAGGGGGTCCATTGGATTCAGAGCCATGGGTATGGCCAGACTTGGGCTGTTGTTTGCACTTCACCCTACAATCCAAAACAGAACATTCAGAGCTTCTCAAATTGCTTGTAGTTTTGTAGCGAGGCATTCTTCCAGTTCATTTTTTGATTACGGCTGACAAATGGCTTTGTACAGCTTTCATTGCTGTTCCAGTAATGAAAAGCAAATAATGATGGAATACATAACATACAACATATGACTCACAGTTGTTTATCTAAGTACTGATTTTTGGTCTGGCAGGCCTGCTGTTGTTTCTCAGCTGATGTCTGGAGAAGCTTAGCAGCTGTGGTCTGCACATCACAGGACTCCAGGGCACTGACCGTCTGGGTCACATTAAGCTGAAGGTGTTCAATCAGATCTAAAAACAAGATTGGAGAGAAATACTCATTTAATCAGATTTGTTCATTTATATTATTACACTGTACAATACTACACAAGGACTTTCAAGGTTACTCAAATTTTACTAAAAAGTTCACTCATTTAAATCAACCATTTCTATAAATTGGCAATGATTTGTTGGCAAGTTGCATGATGCAAATTCATATTGACGTTTTTCCCATAGAGGTCTTTTCCCCCTCTTACAGAACCAATTACCTACTGTGTTTCAACAGTCAGCAGTCATCTAAATTTAGCTCTGTCTGTATACAAATCTCTACAGAGTCCTGCTGGTGACATCCCGTATAAATAACACAAATAATGTGGGCCACGCCTTATGAACGCGTGAAAACGAGATCCTAATGTGTGGCAACGACTTAGTAAGGAGTGGAAATGAGATATTTAAATCATGGCCACGACTTAGTAAGGTGTGGGAGGGAGTTGATGCCTTACTAATTTGTGGCCATGCATTAGGATCTCATTCCCATGCCTTACTAAGTCATGGCCACGACTTAATTATCTTGTTCCCATGCCTAACTAAATCATGGCCATGCATTATTTTTATATATACAGGATGTCAACAGCGGAGCTCCGAAAATCTCTATGATTTTGGTTAATTTTCCAGGCAAATATTGCATCGCGAGGGAAAAAAAAATTGACCACTACTACTAGCCATGTTTAGTCTTCTAGCATTTGTATCTATATTAAACATTTTTCAAATTGTGAAACAGTGAATGTTTTAAAGTCATTACTTGGTCTGGGTGCTAGAATGTCTCCATCTCTACACTGTTAGTAGGAGGAGAGACAAAACAGAAAGTCTATCAGAGAAGCGAGATCTCACTGGCTGATTTAAAGGGTGATTATAATGGCAGCTACACGCATACAGCACTGTATAGTCACACAAAACTACACAATATCATCAAAACAGAACTTTATATGCACATCATCAACTTCTTATGTGTGATCATATGCCCACATTTGGAGCAAATATCCAGATCTGCAAAAATTACAGCCCAAAACTTGCCCCTCTTGTAGCAATTTTGTTGTCGTCTAGATGCATGAGTTATATCATGAGGAGACGTTTAATTTTTTCCAGATGTCCCCCTGATAAACTAATCCAATCTGGGCTCTTGTTTATCATTTCTGAGAAAATATTTTGGAATGGGGCTCCCAGGTGGTGTGATCAACTAGGTGTTAGCCCTATTATTAGATCCGTAGTGTTGCCATAGCCATCCGTGGCTGGGAATCTGTGAGTGCATAATTGGTTTTGCTCTGTCTGAGTGGATGTGATGCCCCCCCATCACAGTGCGATGCTAGCCAATGAAAGCATCTGTTAGCAACGGAATTGACACTTAATGCTCTCCTCCGTGCCTGTTGAGCTGACCAATGATGTTGCGTTAGCGGCAGTTGGAAAATGTGCGATGGCTGGTTCGAATGACTTCACCAGTGCTTGGTAGCAGCCTGTTATAGGGATATATGTGATATATTTTGGAATCTTTGAATGACTTTTCATGATGTGTTATTGTTCAGTCCATTTTACTATTTGGCCATTTTTAAAACTCAGTTAACCATCAAAATAACCAGTAGATTAATAGTATAATTAATAGTGACAGCCCTCTACTATATAAGCTGGAAAGGCACCCAGAAATGGCAGCATTCAGTCAATAAAACAAAAGCTAAAACATCCTTTGCAAAAATAACAATATAATTCCACTAGCTTATAAGGCAATGTCTTGCCAGGGAATGACTTATCAGTGTCGTTTCGTGCTAGGGCCTCCCATGATGTCACTCTGCTATTTTGGGCAAGACCAAGCAGCAGTAGATGTCCTGTTCCTTTCAACATTGTTTCATGCTTGGCACTGCTGTTGAGCATTAGCACTCCAAGAAATTACACCTATCCGGGTTTGGATCAGATTTTCCAAACCAGCTAACACAGCAGTAGTGAGACCGCCGATCTCAGTCAGCACCTGCGGTGCTTTTTTTCACTCTGTATTCACCGTATCTCGAGCATACAGGGCCAAATGATTTCCTGTGGTTGTTTATTTGGTCAGGAAATCCGTTAGCAAGAGAGAGAAAAAAAGTTTTTTATCATGATGTAGAGGTGAAGTGTGGAACGTGGCTTTCGATTTCAGCAAAATGCAACTCTCTCTTTAATAATACAGTAATAAAGAACAGGGATTAACTGACAGCAGAGTGTCTGCAGCTCAGGGAATTAAGGGGATTTCCAACAGTGTGGTTTTACATCACTTATCACTCACTTAGGTAGAGTCACTCTAGGCAGGTCACTCAGATTCAAATATCAAGCGATTCTGCTTCTAAGTGCACAACATTGACCTTATCTGGGCAAAGTATGAACAATTTGACAGGATGCCTGAAAAATGAAGCTTTCCTTTACAAGCCAGGCCCTTGAATACACCACATGTCATAACACTATAATCACGGCATTTTAGGTAAAAAGGCATAACCAACAAATACGGCCTATTTGTTTTCTTTTCCCGGTTTCTATGGTTACATGGGGAAAAAATCCTCTAAGAATATCGTCACTGAGAGAGTGTGCCTTTCATGGAAGTCTGGAAGGGGAGGGGAAAAGACTGACTTGAATTTTCCTACCTTGTTGCTGGGAGATATTTGCTGTTAGGTTTGCCTCGATGGCCTTGTGTAACACAATATCGTTCTCCAGCGAAGTGATGTTTGCGTTCAGAGCGGCCTGAAAACACGCACACACACAGAAACACACACACGAGAAAATTAATTGAGTAATCTCACGAGTTTGTTAAGAGTTGGCGTCAAACTGTTTTGGCATCGTCCTGCCAAGGAGTGTCCCACTTCGCAAGAGGCTGTGAACTGCAACCCCAGCCCCAGCCACAGCCCCTCTGGGCCTCTGGATATCAGAATCTGGGAACTCTTGCTAGATTCCAGTGCTTTGCTTTCAAACTGTGCAGAACAATATCACTCTCCACTGAGCTGATGCAAAACTACTTTTGCTACCTTTATAAAAGAGCCATTATTCAAAGCACAGAGGGATAAGCATTTCTCAAGGCTAGGATACTCGTTATCGGCACTGCTTCTTCCAGGAAGAGTACACCTCAACCTTCCACCCAGAGCTGTTTTAAATGTTGAGATCATTTTAATCTATGGACATTTGCATAACTTCTTCACAGCTCAACTGCGCCTGCCTGTTCACTGCTCACCACAATGGTCTGTTATGTAAATGCACTAAAGGTGAATCTGTTAATATGCCAAACTGTGATTAATCGCTGTTTATCCGGCTCTGTTCATTAAGGGACCGAGCTTAGGATGCTTAGACAGCAATGTCAGCAGGAGCAAATGTTAGAACAACCCAAGGCCAATGTAATCAGAGGTCAGGTTTATCAGCATAGCACATAAAAACAACACATGTTGACCAAACACAGGACAAAACACTATATTGCATATTACATACAACTATTAGCAGCAAATACGGCCTGCTTGTTTTCTTTTCTCAGTTTCTATGGAGAGTCTAAACATTAAGAAAACAGGGGAAATGAAAGAAAAGGACATTCAAAGAAATAATAAGTAAACAAGCACAAAAAGACTGGAAGACATTGTAAGGCTTGGCACTGAAAAGTAGTGCATTGAACTTGAATGCAAGTCAAATGTGTGGCTCATTTCTACTGAATGAAATATATTAGCACAGTTTTGCCTTACTATAGATGAGAGCTGTGTAAAAAGTGGTGTGATGATATAGAATCAATATAGAAATGAAGGAATGTTTTCAGAAAAATATCCAGAAGCACTCACGTTCTCCTGCTGGCATGCCTCCAGGGACAGGTTGAGTTGCTTCAGCTGGTCCTTCAGTTGGTCAATGTGGGACAGCAGCTTAGTCTGGTTGTCCCAGCCATGCCTCACCTTTTCCTCCAGCGCCAGCCGGTCCTCAATCCACACTGCCTTTTCCTTGTCGAAGGTGCTCTGCAGGGCCTGCAGTTCGGCTCTGCACTGGCTGGCCCCCTTCATGTCTGGCGAGGTTGCCCACACCACAATGGTGATGAGCGAGATGATCGACCACAGGGCCAGGCAGGCAATGATGATGTTGCGCGTCGTCTGTGAAGACTTGGAGCTGGCCATCCTCAAAAAGAAAAATAGTCCTTTCACGACTACTTACTGTGGCTGTTACTTAGTGATGCAGTTCAGGCTGAAGGTGTCCGAGGGGGTGTGCGTGTGTGCGAGGGCGGTGGCTGACTGCTCCCAAAAAGTAAAGGGAGGCTTTTAAAGGCTAAACTTCCCCTCAAATCTCTGCCCACCGCTGGGCAGGAAAGGGGTGTGGCCAGATTCAGTGATGGGACGTGTCCTGGGCAACCCTGCTCATTCCTGTAGGCAAAACGATTTTTGGCAAAGAGGAGCAGCAGCAGAGCGAAGACAACCTTCTTTTCACGTTTTGCGGAAAGTGAAAGTTACAGGCACTCACTGTTTCCTTTCAGAGAAAATATGTGACTGTGTGCGCGCGTGTGAGTCTTTTAGTTTCCATTTCCCAATCTCAGGGAGAGCTCTGGCAGGCCTCCCAGCCCCGCTGGAGAGGACGAGAGGCCTTGAGAGCTGCTAGAGAGAGAAAGAGAGAGAGAGAAAAAGGAGAGAAGAGAGCAGAGCAGCCCCCTGTTTGCTTCTTCAGCTATGTCTTGTTTAGAACACTTTCACGAGCAACTCAGCGCTGCAGACTCAGTGTTTCCTGACCGCTTGCCAGGTCTTGAGAGGACACACATACAGTCCACGCCTGCCTCAGCCCTGCCTCTCTTTGCCATGCTGCAGTGGGGCAGGGCCTGCCTTCCCCCCGACAGCCCCTCAGAGACCTTTCCTAAATTTACTTCTATCAGTGGACAAAACTGTATGAAACTTTCTGAACTCTTTAAACTCTAAGAATCACGTCCATTAAACTGCACAAAGGACAATTCCTTCTTTTTCATAATAGAAACTTCTGTTAAATAACTGCACACATATTTGTATGAGGGTTATGCTACTGAATTGGTTCAAAGTGAGAAACGAAAACACATTTTGGACTTTGGACTTTTGCTTCAAGTGACCCTGTACCTTAGTTATGCTTATTTTATTGAAACAAATGACCGACAAATGATGAATGTTTCATTTTGTCACTACCAAAACAATAATAACATCTGCGAAGGTCTACCAAATGTTTTGGTAATGACTGTTTTAGCCAATTTTGAGCATAACTCAAAAACACAAGCCAGTATATGACTAGCAAACACAGCTTTGACCAGCTGTACACGCATAAAATCGTAATATTTTAATTAAAACACAAAAAAGTTAAAAATTTGTGTTTCGGTAGTGACAATTCTTAATGTTACACACTGATTTTCAGACACATTTACTTCACAACAATGGGATCTAACTGCTCACGTGTGGCCATGAGGGACAGGGATACAGTCTGCATGCTCTAAAATGCAGGGGCGTGGCTAAAACAAGGCTCCGCCTATGAACTAAAACTCTTGGTGTTTCGTTAGTGACAAAGAAAACCTGGGACAGCTTTTTTGATATATTTTTTTTTAATTTAAAAATTAAATCCATGATAAATCTAAATCTTAAAAAATCTCAAGAGCTTAAAAGAAATCAAAAATCTAAAAACAAGAGTGAGAAAAAAGAAAAAGAAATGTATTTTTTTTTACACATTGATATTTAGGGGTTAGGGTTTGGGGCAGACACCTATAAAAAATGTAAAAAGTACCCTATAAATTATAATTTTGTATGTATATATTCAGCTTATTACTATCTCAATTAATGTCTTGGGTTTAAATAGATCCATAGCATAACCACTTTCTGAACCTCTGAGTTTTTATATGTAAGGTTGATGATGGTAAAATAGTGGTAAATCTGAAAAAGTAAGTTTTCTTTGGAGATTTTTTTTTGCCTTCCAACACCCTGCATGTAACCTGCCACCATAAGTTAATATGATTTAAAAGGCTTATCTCAAAACTTTCTTTAAGGGAGCTTTTGGAGGTATACAAGTCTACAGATGCCTGGTTCCTATCACCTCCACTGTGAACCATTTATAGCTTGGTGAATTTCACATCAAACCATTCTGAACGACTTTGTTGACATCTTAATCACGTAATTATGCAAAAATGTAAAAAACTAGGTGAAATTCTTCTTAGGCTTCTTAGGCTTCTAAGGCTGATGCAACAATGTGCTACTCTTCTCCTTTAATAATGCAATTTCACAGCACATTTATTTCATATGTAAAGAATGTGGTTTTACAAAGAATTTTTTTTTCGTTTAGTTTGTCTCACAAGCTATCTAGTCATAACTATTAAACTATCTTGTCATTAATCTAAAACAAAACAATAATATCTGCCTACTGATCCAAATTATACTCTGAAAGAGCTTCCATGCGCTCTCAGAAAATATTCACAGTACATCCAATGATATATGAAACCTTGTGCATGTTTTACACAGTCACAGTAAGCACACAGAAACCTCCAGATTCTTCATACTGATACTCTATGGTGAATACGACCATACATATACTGGATACAGAAAATTCTCTTTCGTGAGAATTGTTCTTCTGTACTCTCCTCAGACATTGCAGACAAAAAAGAATAGGAAATTACTTATCAATAAAGCATCATAGAATATTGTAGACAGTGGCAATTCTTATTCAAGGCGAACCAGATTACTAGAGACCATATCATCACCATTACAATAAACAAATCATACAAATACCAATGAGCCAAAATATTGGGACCAGCCAAGAATGCTTTTGGTTAAACCTGAGACATGGACTCTACAAGACCTCTAAAGGTTCCCTGTGGTATCTGGCACCAAGACGTTAGCAGCAGATCCTTTAAGTCCTATAAGATGTAAAGTGGAGCCGCAGAAAGAGGCCACTGCCATTGGGGAATATTTTTGCTGTGAAGGGGGCAAAGTCCTCAGCGATGTTTAGATAGGTTTCACATGTTAAATTGAAATCCACATGAATGCCCGGGCCCAGGGTTTCCCTGCAGAGCATCACACTCCCTCCTCACACTCCTGGTGCCATGAATTTCCCGGGTAAATGACGCACACGTACTATACTGTCCATGTGATGGACAGATGCTTTGTACAGAAGGGTAAATAACACTGTTTTATTCACAAATTAAAAGGTCAAGAAAAGTGGTATAAATGTAATGACTTTAAAGAGTTTTTTAATACCTCTAAAAGGAAAAAATAATACCTGTGGCAAAAGAAATGGACAAACTAGACTACAGTATATATATTAGGTTTTACTGAATTTGAATAACAGAAACATTTAGTGCACATTAGCTAAAATAACTGTCTTCTCATTAATAAAAATAAAATTATATGGCAGTAGACATAGAATATGTCCAAAGCGGACATGTTCACAGTAAACAAATCACTTCTAGTACGTACAGACAAAGGCTGCGTTCCAAAGCCTAGGCTGCAGCCAAGGTAGGACGGGTCCTCGGTAGGACTGTCCTATGAAGATTCCTTATTAGTAGCCTATTGGTCACACAAATGGAACAGTCCTAACGAGGCTGCATGGTGACATCACCAGAAAGGTCCCGCATCGTGCAATTGTGGGGCAAAACTTACGAGGAACTGGTGAGAGAAAATGGAGCCCGTTGCATTGTGTTTGTGTGTTTGGCAATGACAGAAATGCCAATCTCCCTATTAAAGGTACATGTACCATCAAAATGATCTTGAAGCTGTTATTTTAAGATAAAATTGTTACATAATGTTGCTTTAATCTACAAACAAATACTGTAGGTGTAGGCAAAGAGGGCTTCATGTATCCTCTCTAGTTTAGGTCTTGGGAACGTACGTCATGTCATGCTGCATTATGGGACCATTCCAACATGTTGACAGGGTTCATTCTTTGTTTACATGCTGCAAATACTCACATGCACTGTGAGAGCTCAAAGAGTTGCCTTATTGATGGCCTGATCCACACAAACTCCCAAACAATGAGTGAAGTTTAACGTTACCTCCTCTTTCATTTACAGCCTTTTTCCTAGCTGGTGTGAGCTTAAGTGCCTTTTCCTTTAAGTAGGTCTAACTTTTTTAGCCCAATCACAGCTTAACTTAGTAAACCTCTTGGCTGCTACATTTTAGCTCTAAACGGCCCATTTTGAAAGGTAATTGTTATGTTAGTTGATCAGTATTTGTAGTATCACTGCACACCTCACCACAATGCTGAGATTTGCTTCTTATTAATCAGCTTCTTATTCCAATTTTCCATACCACCTTAAATGGAGCTGCAGTTTCATCCTGGCGTCCATGAGGTGTTTGTCTTCCCCAGTTATGGTGTGTTCCATTTAAACTGGGAAGTCGGAATTTCCAAGTTCCCAGTAGGAAGTTTCAACTGGAACGCCCCGCCATTTCCTACTAAACTCGGAAAAGCCTCAGCAACCCTGTCCTCAAAATCCAAGATGGCTGCCCCACCCATCAACAGTAAGTAGAAGCTGTAGTATTATACTGTTTATTAGCTCTTATGTCTGTTTGTGTCTAATTAAATCAGTCATATACTCAGTGCAGTCCAACTCTGTGGACATGTTGCTACCATATTTGGATTTGCAAAATACTATGTAATGCATAGTTATCAACTGGCTCAACAAAGGTTTTCTTGGAGGCGACCATTTGGGTTTTCTGAGTGTTTCGCTAGAATGTGATCAGCTCTGGTGTGATGTCATTCCCAGCTCCGATATCCGAGCTAAATGGAACTCACCATTAGTTAGCTGCTTCCACACTTGCAGTGATAATTCCACTAAATGATAATAAAAGTTTTTTTTTTTTATTAAATATATATGACTGGATCTAGAAAATAAGCTTGAGCTTAATGTTTATCTTTATTCTCACTATGATGCTTCTTATGTGCTGTTTAACCAGAGCTGCTCCTGAATAGCTGATTAAACCTTCCTTTCTGATCTTTGATTTCAGTCTGTTCAAGACATTTTTAGACCTTAAAATTCCTAAATTTAAGATGTTCTAAGACTGATTAAGGTTCTGATTAAAGACTGATTAAGGGATCCTGTTAAAGCAAAAGTACAACAAAAGTACAAAAGTACATTTCCAAAAAAGTTGGGACGCTGTGCAAAATGTAATTGAAAACAAAATGCAATGATGTGCAAATCATTTCAACTCTATATCTATTTGAAAATAGTACAAAGACAACATATCAAACATTAGAACTGATTGTTTTTTTGAAAAATATATACCAATTTTGAATTTGATGGCAGCAACACGTTCCAAAAAAGTTGGGACAGGAGCAAGAAAAGGCTGATAAAGTTGTGTAATGTTGAAAAAAAAACTGAAGGTTAATTGACAACAGGTCAGTAACATCACTGGGTAGAAAAAGGGCATCCCAGAGAGTCTTTCAGAGGTTAAGATGGGGAGGGGTTGACCACTCTATATGCAAGGATGAGGCAGAAAACCAGTATTGGCTAGC